TTTTTTTTTTAATTTATTTGAACTTTATTTTATATGCATTGGTGTAAAGGTGTCAGCTTCCAGGGAACTGAAGCTACAGGCAGTTGTGAGCTGCCATGTGGGTGCTGGGAATTGAACCCGGGTCCTCTGGAAGAGCATTCAGTGCTCTTAACCGTTGAGCCATCTCTCCAGCCCCCATGGTACTGTTTCTTTTTTCTGTTTGAGAAAAAAGATGTTTTAAGAGCCAGGAAGGGCATACTGAACATACTCCTCTACCTTGAATCCTTACTTGCTTGAGGTCTCTGGAGAGTCTGAGGGGCCAGGCAAGGACGTTGGTGTGTAGGAGGCTGGTACTTGGGGGTAGATCTCAGCAAAGGAAAATGACTCTAGGCCCCCTTTCTACCCCTATCACTCCTACCTCATGAAGAGGTTCAATTCCCCTACCAGCCAAAGGCCCTTCAGCCCCACCTGCTGCATACAGAAACCTAAGGCTTGTTTCTGCCTCTGCTGCCCTCATGGTCATGCCCCAGGGGGGCCAGGGCGAGCCTGACTCCTGAGCCTCATCTACTGAGGACTTGCCTTCCAGAATCAAACAAGGCCTCATTGTGTCACAAGTGCACTGCGAGCCTAGGCAGAAGATTTGACCAGTGGAAGCTTTACTGAAATTTGAAGCTGAAGAAAGTTTAAAGATAGGTGAGAAGAGCCAGGACAAGGGCAAAAGGATCCTTTGTAATCCCAGCACTCTGGAGACTGAGGGCAAGAGGTTTACATACAAGTTGGGTCAAGTCTGGGCTATGTGTCAAAAATTATAAGATGAGGCTGTAAGCGTGCAGTTAGAGCAAATACGTTAAGTATCTTGGAGCCATGTTTGTGCCTGAGAGATTTGTGTGTTTTGTCTTCGTATGTGTGTCCACCATGTGTGCCTGCTACCGTAAGGTCAGAAGTAAGCCATCAAATCGCCCAGAACTAGAGTTACAGATGGTTGTTAGCCACAACAGCTGAAGCACTGCCCCCATTCAAATATCACAGTCCTGTGGGAGATGGGGCAACAGGGACAAAACCCTAGCTACCCAGTCACTATGGTAAGAGCCCTAAAGTACCTCCTATCCTTGGATGTCTTGGGACTTTTGGCACTAATGCCTATTTTCTGGCAACCAAGCAGCAGTCGCACTGGCTCTGAGAGTACAAGAGGCAGGGCTGAGGAGGCAAAGGCCCTAACATGCCTGGGATCTGGAGAGGGCCACACTTGGCCTCTATCTCCTCTTCCTGCTCAGCTTTCCCATTATCCAACAGTCAAATTTTCTTTTTTTCTTCGAGACAGGGTTTCTCTATAGCAGTCCTGGCTGCCCTGGAACTCTTGTCTAGGCCGGACTGGCCTTGAACTCAGCCTCCCAAGAGCTAAGTGTGTGTCACCACTACCCAGCTGAAGCCTCATTTTCATTGCCTCAGATAACTTTTGCAAACATTGTCATGAAAACTCTGGATTCTGGTCCCATACCTCATCCCGTGCCCAACACTATTAACTAGGAATCCACATCCAGATGTGTGATGGTCTTCCTGCTGTTTTGTATTTTGAGATTTGATTTTTGTTTTGTTTTTTGAGATGGGGCTTCACTGTGTAGCCCTGGCTGTTCTGGAACTCACTCTAGACCAGGCTGGCTCGAACCCAGAGATCTGCCTGCCTCTGATCCTGGGAATAAAGGACTAAAGGCATGCACCACCACCGCTGCCTGGTGGTAAAACTAGTTCTTAATAATACAGCATAAACTGACCTTGAACTCATGGTCCTGCCTCACCCTCCTGAATGTTGGGATTACAGGTCTGTGCCACCATGTCTGTCTTGTTTCCACAATTTTTTCGCTTGATATGCCAATGGGGTGGTTCTGGTGCCCTCTGCTCACTATAGATGGCAGAGTGGGTAGGGATGGAAGTTCCCACTCTTTGGGTGGGCTCCAACTCCACACCTTAGCTAATGATTCAACCAAGCATGCTGGGGATCCAGGCTGACCCCTGGCTCAGGGGCAATGTAAGGATAGAGGGATAATATAAAGTAAGCCAAAATAACACATAGTTGATGTGGAATTCCCCTCTGTATGCTATAAATATGTTTTATTACCATTGGCTATTAAAGAAGCTGTTTCGGCTAATGGCTTAGTAGAGTAAAGCCAGGCAGGAAATAAGAACAGAGATTATAAAATAGGCGGAGTCAAAGAGATGCCATTTAACTGTCGAAGCAGACAAACTCCAGATCCTTACCAGTAAGCTACAGCCTTGTGCGAATACATCAATTAATGGAAATGGGTTAATTCAAAATGTAAGAGCTAGCTAGAAATATGCCTAAGCTATTGGCCAAAACAGCTTTATTTATTAACCAATGAAAGCATCACATACAGAAGACCATCCCACATGAGGGAATGGAGGCAGGCCAAGGGCAATTGTGGGGTCTGTGCTGATGGCCTGTCTTTGCCGTTTTCATATTTTGTAAACATTTGATACAGTTCTCTCTAAGAAAAACTATCAAAATGTGGTGTGTGCCTTTAATCTCAGCACTTACAAGGGAGGGGCAGGTGGATCTCTTGAGTTCAAGGCCCACCTGGTCTACAAAGGGAGCTCCAGGCCAGTCATAAATACATTGTGATACCTTGTCTCAAACAAATGAAAGAAAGATACTCTCACAATGCTACATTAACTCTGTCTACTCAGTAAAAATAGTTCTGGATCACTTGAATGTTTCCTTTACCATCTGACAGGGCTGGAAAAGCAGAAGGAGATGCTGCTTTCTGGCTCTGGTGGCTTCTCCCACAACTAAGGTCCTGGGATGCAGAATAGCCAGTGGCACCCAGTGTCCTCAAGCTGTTATCAGCATGCTAAGAGGGCCTTCTCCCATAAACAGTTTAGCAGCAACTCCGGGGCGCAGAATCCAGCACAGCCCACCAACATGGCGTTACAGTAATTTCTGTGCCATTCAGTAAGCTTGCTATCCCCTTTTCAACAATATCTGTACCTCAGATCAGGGGTACAGGACTTCAAAACTCTAGTGGCTATTGCTATTCTGCTTATCTGTTTCCCCTGTATGCTTGATCTCTGTGGGTACCAGGCCAGCCAAGCTACATAGTGAGACCTGCCTCAAAAACAAAGCCAGAAGTGGGCATAACACAATTCACCTTAAGTATGTTTAAATATAGAGTTCGGTAGCAGCACGTGCATACCCGTGTATCTTCCCAAACTGGTGCTCTTTTCCCATCAAGCAATCCTACTCTTCACTCCACCCTATCCAATTTCCGTTGTTTTTCAGTGCTGATAATCTAACTTGGAGCCTCAGGTATGATATACAAAGTGCCTCCACACAGAGCTATACCTCAGCCCCACCCTATATTTTTATATCCATGAATTTGGCCATTCATATAAGTTAAACCATATGATATCTGTCCTTTGGAGGCCAGGTTATTTTGTGTAACAGAAATGTCCTTAAGGGACACCCATGGCCTAGCCTATACCAGGATTTCATTCTTAAATCCATTCCTTTTAAAGGCATATTCAGTTTTGTGCATATTTGATGCCATTAAAAATATTCTTGGGATGGGCTGGAGAGATGGCTCAGTGGTTAAGAGCACAGCTTGCTCTTCCAAAGGTCCTGAGTTCAATTCCCAGCAACCACATGGTGGCTCACAACCATCTGTAATGAGATCTGGTGCCCTCTTCTGGCCTGCAGGTGTGCATTCAGACAGAATACTGTATACACAATAAATAAAGTCTTTTAAAAAAAAATATTCTTGGGAGCCGGGCGATGGTGGCGCACGCCTTTAATCCCAGCACTCGGGAGGCAGAGGCAGGTGGATCTCTGTAAGTTCGAGACCAGCCTGGTCTACAGAGCTAGTTCCAGGACAGGCTCCAAAACCACAGAGAAATCCTGTCTCGAAAAACCAAAAAAAAAAAAAAAAAAAAAAAAAATTCTTGGGTGGGGAGATGTAGTAAGGAGGAATGGGTCATGTCCTGCCGCCCGGCTAGCTTAACCCCCCGAAATAACCACTCAGAAATTGTATTAATTTAAACACTGCCTGGCCCATTATATCTAGCCCCTTCTTGGCTAACTCTTACATCTTAGTTTAACTCATTTCTATTAATCTGTGTGTCACCACGAGGTCGTGGCTTATCAGGAAAGATTCAGCATATCTGACCTGGTAGCTCCATGGTGGCTCTCTGTCTACTCTTCTTCCCAGCATTCAGTTCTGTCTACTCTGCCTACCTAATTGCTGCCCTCTCAAAAGGCCAAGGCAGTTTATTTATTCAACCAATGAAAGCAACACAAATACAGAAGAACCTCCTACACCAGAGAGAGGTTGAAGAGATGGCTCAGTGGGTAAGAGTACTTAGTGCACTTGCAGAGGTCCCCAGATGGGTTCCCACAGCAGGAAGCTCATAACCAACTGTAACTCCAGCTCTAGGGGATCCAACACCTCTGGCCTCAAAGCTCCAGGGAATCTTATGCCTCACTGAACACATATATACACACATGCATGCACCCACACATAGGTTTTAAGTGATAATTTGGGGGCTGGAGAGATGGCTTAGCAGTTAAGAGCACATAACGGTTTTCCAGAGAACTGGAATTTGGCTCCTTGTACCCATGTCAGGCAGCTTACAACTGCCTGTAACTCCAACACTTCTGATCTCCCTAGGCACCTGCACTCACTGCACTCGAGAACACACAGAGGAGAACACACAGAGAGAGGGAGGGTGGGAGTAACCTCAGGACCAGGGACCCACGTGCTGGAAGGAGAGAACTGACCTCTCACAAGTTGTCCTCTGACCTCCACACATATGCCATGGCACAGGTATCTACACACATACACATGAACACATACTATATAAAACTGAAAAACAAATCAGAAACTTCTTTTGAGCTAGACCTGGTATAAGCCTGTTCCTGAAGCAGGAGGAGCGCATATTCAAGGCTTGCAAATTCAAGTCCACTTCAGCAATTCAGTGAAACTTAATCTCAAAATAAAAAGTGGAGGTGGGGCCGGGCAGTGGTGGCGCACGCCTTTAATCCCAGCACTTGGGAGGCAGAGGCAGGTGGATCTTTGTGAGTTCGAGACCAGCATGGTCTACAGAGCTAGTTCCAGGACAGGCTCCAAAGCCACAGAGAAACCCTGTCTCGAAAAATCAAAAAATAAAATAAAAAAGCCTGTTATGATGACACAGGTCTATAACTCCAGCACTAGAGAGACTGAGGCAAAAAGACTGTGAGCCCGAGGATAACTTAGGCAACATGGCAAGAATTTGCTTAACAAAAATAAATAATACAATCTTTAGAAATATAAAATTCACTGGGCATTGGTGGTACAAGCCTTTGATCGCAGAGGCAGGCAGAAATCTGAGTTCAAGGCCAGCCTGGTCTACATCACTAGTTCTAGGACAGCAGGGCTACACAACAAAACAAAACAAAACAACAAAAATAAAAAAGGAGAAATATAAAACTTTAACATGAACATCAACTGGCTTTCTCATCGATTCCCATGGGGAGGCTATGGACAACAGCACTTAGTTTCACTTTTCAAAAAAGAAAAAAAAAAAGCCTTAATCCCAGCACTCGGGAGGCAGAGGGAGGCGAATCTCGGTGAGTTCGAGACCATCCTGGTCTACATAGTACTAAGCCACCCAGGGCTATGTAAAGAGACCCTGCCTTTAAAAAAAAAAATAAAGTAAAATTTAAAAATAGCCAATCCAAAAACATGGTTCCTGAAGTCTGGATCCCGCCCCTTCAGGTCCGCTAAAGAACTGCAATTTCCAGGGGACTAACTAGCACGCTCGCCCAGGGCTCTCTGAGGACTCCATTTCCCAGCTAGCCCATCGCCGGGCGGACTGTGCACCTCAGCGCCCCCTAACGGCGCACCGCCGCACGCTGCCGTTCCCGGCGGCCCTCGCGGCAGGCTGCGGGCGTCAGGGCAGTTGGTGATGGCGGCGGCAGGTTCCGCTGCCGTGTCAGGGGCAGGGACCCCGGTGGCGGGGCCCACGGGCCGCGACCTCTTTGCCGAGGGGCTCCTGGAGTTCCTGCGACCCGCTGTGCAGCAGCTCGACTCTCACGTGCACGCGGTCAGGTGCTGGACCGGGAGGGCTGGGGGCGGGGCCTGTGGAACTGGCTTTGTAGGGGCGGGGCCGCGAGAGGTAAAGACCCGGTAAGTTCTTGAGACTCTTCTGGGTCAAAGAGGCGCAGGTGAGGCCTTTGAGATTTGCTTGTCTCAGTACTTGAGGAATAAGTAGAATTAGTTTCCCGCGTCCCATTCACTGACCGTGTAGGCCTTTGTACCTCTTTGCAGAGAAAGCCAGGTAGAGCTCCGGGAACAAATTGACAACCTAGCTACAGGTGAGTGAGCACCCAGAATACCTAGAACCCTTGAACTCACTTTTACGAGCTTTGGTTTCCTCAATATCAGAACTACTCACGGACTCTAATTTCTGGGTATATCTTAGGACAGAATGAAAGGGAGTGAAGGGTAGGTATCTGTGGTCACACAAGACTGCAAGAGTGTTTTTCATCTTGTTCCTCTTTTATATTCCCTAAGAACAAAAAATGAGCCATTAGATGTTGGTTGCCCATTTGCTCTTCTCAGAACTATGCCGGATCAATGAGGATCAGAAGGTGGCCTTGGATCTGGACCCCTATGTTAAGAAGCTGCTTAATGCCAGGCGACGAGTTGTCTTGGTGAACAATATTTTACAGAATGCCCAGGTAATTAATTAAAAGAGAAAGTTTTCTTAGCAGAGCATATTGACACATAATGAAATTTCAGCGTTTGGTGGGCTAAGGCAAGAAGGATGGTTGGGACTTGGAGCATAGCCTGGACTACACAGGGACTCTTAGATCAGCCAGGGCTACATAGCAGGACCCTGGATCAAAAAAGCAAAACAGGCTGGGCAGTGGTGGTGCAGGCCTTTAATCCCAGCACTCAGGAGGCAGAGGCAGGCGGATCTCTGTGAGTTCAAGACCACCCTGGTCTACAAGAGTTAGTTTCAGAACAGGCTCTAAAACTACAGAGAAACCCTGTCTCAAAAAAACAAAACAAAACAAAAAAAAAAAGCAAAAAAAATCAAAAGTTTTAACAGTTCTTTATCGTACTTTATGTGTTCAACACAGTGAAAGCCACCAAACATTTTAACCACCAGGGTTAACCCCTCCCCCATACTAGACCTCAGCCTCAGGTCCTCTAAAATACTAGACAAGTATTCTTAATATCTACTGGATGTCATTTACAAGCTTATATATACTTAAAGGATTGCCTGAACCAGCCCTGTGGTGGTGGCGCACACCTTTAATCCCAGCACTTGGGAGGCTGAGGCAGGCAGATCAAGGCCAACCTGGTCTATAGAGTTCCAGGACAGCCAGGACTACACTGAGAAACCCTGTCTTGAAAAAAAACAAAAATAGGATAAAGAGTCCAAGCCTAAGGTACCACTCAGTGTCTTCTTAACTCAGGTAAACTTTTTACAGCAGTCATTAGATTCCGTCTTCCTGTCTTGTAGGAACGGCTAAGGCGGCTAAACCACAGTGTTGCCAAGGAGACAGCTCGAAGGAGAGCGATGCTGGACTCAGGAGTTTACCCTCCTGGTTCTCCAAGCAAATAAGTTGGGCCTGTGACCTGAGTGTACAAGTACTGTTCTCCAGCTGCTTTTTTTGGTAGCCATGAGAAGATCCCAGACGTTTCTGTCGACCTTAGGTTTGTTTGAACTGTGTACTCGTTCATGTAGTGGCCTCAAGAAACATGCATACTGCAGACTTTCCTAAAGAGCTTCCATTACAGCTTGTGCTTCCAAGAATAAGCTTCTCACTGTGTAGCCCAGGCTGGCTGAATGCTGAGATTACAGGCATGTACCAGGGTGCCTGGCTTCCGTCTACACATCTCCCCACAGAGAATGTTAAGGTTAGCCATCATGTGGTAGAAAGTTCCAAACACACCAGAGTTAGTGCAGGAATATTTCCACTCCTCCCCCTCTGCTTTACCACAGTTCCTCTCATGGTCATGACTCTTCCAGACTCATCTTTACATATATATCCTATACATTTTAATGTTTGCTTCTTAGCAAGGGTCACAACTGTTGCCTTCATCAGTGCAGCCCCAGGAGAACACAACAAATGATGAAGATCCGAGGTCAAGGGTAGAGCACCTTGACAGTTCAGAACCCTAAGCTTTTGTGGTTTGCTGTTTTTTTTTTTTTAAGCTATTTTAAGGGCTGGAGGGATGGCTCAGTGATTCAAGAGCACTGACTGTTCTTCCAGATGATGTTCAGTTCCCAGCACCCAAGGGGTGGCTCATAGCAATCTACAGTTCCAGGGGATCCAATGCCCTCTTCTGGCCTTTTGGGGCACAGCACACATACAAGATGCAGACATAGATGCAGACAAAACATCCATTCACATAAAATAAAAACTTTAAGCTTCATAGTTGGAGTTCCATCCTTTCCAGGCCTACTTAACCACTGTTGACCATCCTGTCACTTGCTGTCTTAGAGGGATTCTCTCTACGTGTGGTTTCACTTGTTTTCTTTACAACTGAGGACTTAGGCAAAGTCAAGGTAAATAATTTATCTCCTTGACTCCCCTGGCTTGAATGTTGATAGTATTGGTCAACATTATTAAATGCTTGTTATCAGTTATTAACAAAAAAGGATTTATCTTGATTTGTGGTCTCAAAGGGTTCAGGACATGGTTACCGTGACCCACGTTTCTGGGCCTATTGTCAGACATGAGTGTGTGGTAACCAAGCTTCTCCATCTCCTGCTGGCCAAGAGAAGGGAATGCTGGGATTCTGGCTGCTTTGTCTTTTATCCCTTTATTCTGTCCAGGTACCCAGCTCGTAGAATGATTTTATCCACATCTAGGTGATCTTGCTCAGCTAATCCTCCACAGAAAACTAGGCATGTCTCACTAATCTCCTAAGCCATACTGACATGAAAATTAGCCATCACAATGTTGGTGTACAAAAGAGTTCTACAATAGTCCAGAATGGTAGAGTCCCACATCTTAAGGCTTAAATGTATTCCAGTTTACTCTCAAACATTAATTTATATAGGCTGAAATTGCAATCTCAGTGTTTATAATAAAAGATTCAACTTTAATTCTAAATGAAGTGTATAGAAGGCAGAAATAACTGCTACATGTTGAAAAATAAAACCAAAAGCCCGGCTAGGAAGTACTTTACTCATTTTTCGTAGAAAAAAAAAATTCCCAGACACTTTACAACATTTCAACAGAGAGTATACTGGTTGGGAGTGGTTAGGTTTAAATATTGGGAATGTGCTTCATTCAGATGGAAGGATGGCATATACAGTCACAAATGGGAGACATCTGGCTGCTTAGCCACTATCGAAACAGTAACTAGCCCCCTTTCCTTTAGTTCGTTTTCCATTCTTCCATCTCCCTATGCCACAGAAATGCCACCATATAAAGCCCATGGCAGCTGGCTTAGCCCCATCTTCCCTTGGGCAGCAAGGAGTAAAGGGAGTTCACTCCTGAGTCTCCATACTTTCTTCTTCTTCCCCTTGAGGTGGCTCTTCTGTGTTTTCCTCTTCCTCTTCTCCCTCCTTCTTCTCAGGCGGCTTCTCATAAGCCTTTTCTGAAGGTGTCACAATGACTCCATCCCAGGTAGATATTTCAGAAGCAAGATCTAGAAGAGAAGGAAAAAACGTGTTTCATACAAACAGTAAACAAAATAAGCTATACCCAGAAATATGAGGGCACCTTAAGATACAGTGTCTCTATAGATCAGAACCCCTGGACCACACCACAGGGAGAACTCACAGCTGGCATCCCCCTCCTGGCCAAGAATCTTCCTAAAGCCTCCATGGGAGAGAATTCGAACCAGAGTCTGAGCTGTGTAGCACACCATGTCCTGCTGTTCTAGGGTCATGACTGTGTGTACTCTGAAGTTGCCACTCTCACAGGGGTCAGTGATGCCCACTGACCCTGGCAGGAACAGTCCTGCAGCCAGAATCTGCAAGCAACGCCTAGAACACAAAGACATTTACTTAGAAAGCACACAAAACAGCTTATACCCCAAACCTAAAGAAGCATGCTATACCTGTATGCCACATTTAGGGCCAAAGGCTGTCTGGTAGGGTTATTCATCACAGCATAGTGCCCCTGGAAGAGAGTAAGTCTGCTAGGTATGCTACCAACTGGCAAATCTAGGATCAAACAAACTAAAACTTCAAGTCAGGAGGAAAACTAGCTGTAATGATGAACTGACAGTAATGAGAGCACAGAGTACTTTCACCGAGCACTAAAAACGTCAGTGAAGCAATAAACTTCCAGTCTTCCTAGATAAACTTCGGTGGTTTTTTTTTTTAGGACAGGGTCTCCCTAAGACTATCCTTGAACCCCAAATGCTCCTGACTACAATTTCTTTTAGGCCTCATTCGATTTCTGATGTTGGTAGGTTTGGGAGTAAATCAAGCTGGGTGTGGTGGCGCATCCTTTTAATCCAAGTACTCTAGAGACAGAGGCAGTCGGACCTGAGCTCAGTGCCAGCCTGGTCTACAGAGTAAGTTTCACGACAGCCAGGGCTACACAGAGAAAACCCTGTCTCAAAACTAACTATAGACGAAGAGTGACTCCAACTGCACCACAACCTCTCACATAATAGACAAGCACTCTACACAGAGCTACATCTTCACCGCCCTTTTTTTTTAAACTTACAAGTAGGTCAAGGATCCAGGGCGTGAGAGGCTCGAAGCCAGGAAAACGAATCCTCAAGTCCTTTAGCAATCTGATGAGAACTTTAACTCTGAATGTAAGAGACCCATAGGTTAGAGGTAATAACATTCTGGTAGTTCCACACTGAGCAGTTAATCTAAATAGTCTATACTATTTAGAGAACTACATGTACAGTGGCCACCAGCTAGATCAACAGAGAAAGGCATTTGTTCCTAAGTCTGACAAACCTGAAATGAGAAAATTCTTTAAAGTTGTCCTGAGACTAGCTACCCAACTGTGACCTGTGTATGTGCACTCACACACACAAAAAAAATATTAACATACCCTCCCCAACCTTGTTTATTTAGGTAAAAATCAAAACCCAGACATCACATCTGAAACAGTTCTGTCAGAGGGGGGAGGAGGGAGGACGACGTCTATTGTTCATGGTGGCTGGATCACAGGCCAGAGCCACTACACTCCTTCTACAAATAACCAATGAGACTCACGTGGACTGAGAAGCATTTTCTTCAAACCAGCGGGCATGCCGGATGGCTGCTAAGGCGCTCTGCAACACCTTGATGTCCACTGGAGACAAGCATAACAGGCTAAGAAACTTTCCTATTAAATGTGCAATATAGTCAATCCCAGTGCCTGTCCAGGAGTACGGCAAGCCACTTGTCCAAACACTATGGTTGCCCCCCCCAGCTAAATCTGAAAACAGGCAACATACATATCTCTTCCAATAATCTACTTCCCGTAAGTATTTACACACGCTTTTACTTTTTTAAAAAATTTTCTTCCAAGTTTTTTTCTTCTGCAATCCTTAAGGCTTTGAAAATCTTACTAGGAAGCTGGTAATGCGGTTTACAAATCATGGAGAAAGTAACCCTTCACAGTTAATGCAATACTAAAACTTCCAGAAAGCGCCAAAACCTTGGCTCCTGTCACAAATGGGGACAGAAGACTCACAATGGAGTTCCGGGTCCAGTTTCCGGAGATTGGGCGGGACTGTGGTAATGAGAATTTTCACTGTAGCATCAGAAGAGCTGATTTCAAAGCCAGTTTCATTAGTCAGCATGGTCAAAACTAAAAACAAAATAATCAAAATATGTAACACATATTTGTTCTGTTTTGCTTTTATTATTAAATTATATTTATTTAGAGCGTGTATGAGTGGGCCAAAGGACAACCTTTTAGGAATAAGTTCTCTCCTTCCACCATGTAGGCCCAGGGAACAAACTCAGGGCATCAGGCTTAGTGGCAAGCACCTTTACCCACTGTGCCATCTTGCTAACCCATTTTGCTTTTGAGACAAGATCTCATTTCGCTCAGGCTGCCTTCCAACTCACTGTATAGCCAAAGATGACTGACCTGCTGATCCTCCTTCCTCTGCCTCACTAGCTAAGCATATGTAAGTGTGCCACCAAATCTGCCGGATATAATGCTGAGTACTGGTCTCAGAACTTCACACATGCTAGACATGGACCCTGCCAGCTAAGCTCTATCTACCCAGTCTTCATTTTGTTTTGGGAATAAGGTTTTACTATGTATATAGCTCAGGCTGGTCTTAAATTATCAAACCCCATGCCCTAGCTTCTCAAATGCTGGGGTTATAGGTATGCCATACCTGGTTAACAGGTTGCTTTTCTGGCAGTGAGCTATTTAATTTTTGAGACAAGCTGTATATGTAGCAAAGGCTGGTCTCAAACATCAATAAGAGCTTGGATACCAGTAAGTGGAAGCAAGAAGATCATCAGGAGTGCTAGACCAACCTGTCATGACACCCCATCTCAAAAGTAGGGGAGCAGAGGGACAGTGCAAGCTGAAGAGACGAGGTCTGGAGATGAAGCTCAGTGGCCAAATCAGAATTCAGTGGTGCATACCCATCTATGATCCTAGCACTTGGGAGGCTGAGGGAGGAGGAACGGAGTAAATCTCTCATAACCCACCCTTCATAATAAAAGAAAATAAACTGTGACGGCCTGAGACACCTGCTAGACGCTGCTCCACAGCCCTGACTATATAAGCGCAGCCGCTGTTGCCACTACTTAAGATATTCAGAGCAGACTCAGACCTTCTGAGGGGTCCTGGGCTCTCAGGCTTTCCACAACCTTGTTCCCCAGGGCAGCAACAGCTTCCACTAGATGGGAAAAAAGGACAAAATTAATGTTACAGTACACATTTTATGTAAACTACTTCTATCAGTAAACAATGTGGCAATTCCATTTCTACAGACTGAAGCTTATTTAACTAAAATGAACTCTTGCCAGGGGAATGAAAGTCTGGACAGAGAATCTGGAAGTGTCTCAAGCAACAGGCATCCCCAGGCATATACATCTTTTTACTTTTTCTTCTTCTTCTATTTTTTTGGCGGCAGAGTTTCTCTGGCCTTGGCTGTCCTGGAACTCACTGTGTAGACTCTGCTTCCCAAGTGCTGGGATTAAAGGCTTACACGCCTTTTTTGCACAGCAGTGTCCCCAGGTCACTAGCACTTAGGACGGGGTCTGTCTTAGCACACCTGGCCCCCTTCCCTACTCAGGCCAGTAGCACCTCTGGTTGGAATACTCAAACATGTGTCCAGACACAACCAATGCCTCACAGGGAGCAAAACTGATTCCAGTTAATGGATGTGGACTTTAGTGCTGGCCATAACTTCTAGACACGTATTACAGTTAGTCCCATATCACTCCAATTGCATTAAAAAATAAAATAAAAAACCCAAAGAGCCCAGTAGGATGGTAAACACCTTTAATCCCAGCACTCAGGAGGCAGAGGCAAGCAAATCTTGAGTTGTAGACCAGCCTACTCTACATAGTGAGACCCTGTCTCAAACAAAGAAAAATAAATAATAAATTTACTATTTCTCTTCCACTCACAAATGGATGGATGGATAGACAAATGGATGGTCTGGACTTTAATATTACCAGCCCTACAACTAACCTCGATGTTTAGGAAAGTGAGCTAGAGGGCTGGCTCAGGGGTTAAGAGTACTTGTTCCTCTTGCAAAGGAACAAGTTTCCAACACCTATTTGGTGGTTCACAACCATCTATAACTCCAGTTCCAGGGGATCCAGAGCCCTCTTCTGACCTCTGTGAGCACCAGGCATGGTATTCATGCATTCATACAAGCATAACACTAATAGAAATAAAATATAAATTTTTTTTTTTTTTTTTGGTTTTTCGAGACAGGGTTTCTCTGTGGTTTTGGAGCCTGTCCTGGAACTAGCTCTTGTAGACCAGGCTGGTCTCGAACTCACAGAGATCCGCCTGCCTCCCGAGTGCTGGGATTAAAGGTGTGTGCCAACACCGCCCGGCTAAAAATCTTTTAAAAAAGGTTGGGTTGAGACTCCTGCTAGATGCTGCCGCACACAGCCCTGACTCTCTATGTAAGTGCAGCTGCTGTTGCCACTACATAGATATT